TGTTGAAATTTTCAAAGACTCCAGGCTAGTATTTGTGAATTTGGATTCTTCTGATCCAAAGTCACAAGATTCTCCTATCTTATTCATTCATCCATTCTTCTAACTCATTCATTCACTCATTCATTAATTCAATTAATATTATATCCATGCTAAACAATTTTTACAAGAGGAGTTCGCAAGTCATGATGAGTTTCTCTTGGAGCATGTCATCAAGAGGCATATGTCGGTTTGTGTCATTATTGATGGTGTTAAATGTGATCAGTTTGGTTAGGTGTTGTCTCCCAGATTTCTTCCTTGTAAAGATCACTGTTCTGCTTTGTATATGATCAGTGTATGATCTACAAAGCAATTCTTTGAGATTAAGGTCGCCTGCTCACCTCTAACTTTTTACCAATGATTTTAGCATCCACTGATGACCTGTATTGGAATCAGTTCTTATGAAGGCTGCTGTTCAGTTGGGCACGCAACAGAGGGCTCTTGGCGGCTCAACTCTTCCTTCACCCTAAATAAATAATGGCATCTTGGTAGGGAAAAGCAGAGCATATATCTGGTAAGCTGAGTGCAGTGAGGTCAGCACTGACCCACATCTGTTGTTTATGGCAAGGAAGAGGGTCAGGGGTGGAGGTCCAGGGAAAAGGAAAGGCAGGAGCCAGTCCTAGAGGTACAAAAGGAATGGGATAGAGATGTAGAGGATCTGGATGGCTGGGAGGTGCATATTGCTACTCAGGTATAAGTTTCTAGTTCTTGTGGCACTGGATGTAGATGATCACACATCTGATTCACTCAGAAATGCAGTGAGTTAAATGGGCCATGACCTTGACAGAGTTATCTTATTCATTCATCCATTCTTCTAACTCATTCATTCACTCATTCATTAATTCAATTAATATTAAAGGGACACCTAATATTTAATTAAGCTCTATGCAAAGTTCTAATAAATTAAAAAAATAGATCTCAAAACCTAGTCATCATGGACCTTATAGTCTAGTAATGGAAGTAGATTTAATGAAATAATAGAAACAAAGCTGAAACTACTCTTGTGATGAGTAAGAATATTGGAGCAGTATGGGGTACCAGGAAAGCCTCTAAGAGGGGAATGTAAAGCTCTGCATGTTAGCAGAACATAGAGGATATTGTTACATAATGCATGGTTATTCTATGTACCACTAAAAAAAACACATCCATGATAGAAACCCTAAAAAGGAACTCCATGGTAAGCTGGGTTACCAAAGGGGTGTCCCCATCAATAAAAAGGCAAATGAGAAATAAACTATGTCATAGTAAGAGACAGCAAGGGAAATAGGCTTGTCTCAACCTTGGCACTGGGTGGAAGGAGAAAAATAAAACTTCTCGAAGAATTCCATTAGTGGGTACTTCTGAATTTACATCAATAATGTGTCCAAAAAAACTCAAGCAGAGAATGTAAAGTGATGTCAGATGGGTGGTTCTCTGAGGTGACTGGCAGAAGCAAATGCAAATCTTGCTGGAAAAATTTGTCTTTAATCTAGGCCAACAGGGATTGTGTGACCACATTTACTTATAGGACACACTCTAATCTCCAAGATAAAGGATAAAGAAGCATACATTATGGACTTGTTGCAACATGGCAGTCAGGGGGGTGCGTGGTACTATCTTGATATATTGATACTTAGATTGAGGTTGAGATCTGAATGATGCATAGGGTTTACTTTGGTGAAGATGGTGGGAAAAACATCCCATAAGGCATGAGCACAGGCCGAGGGCCTGAGGAGGGGGAGGCACAGGAGATTGGAGGGGCCCAGTAGGGCTGGAGCAGAGAAGGAAGGAGCATGGTGGGGATGAGGCTGGAGAGGTGGGCTATGGTGATTCCTTGTAGGGCCTTGTGGAGCATGTGAGAGAGTTTTGTTCAGATTGTAAGAAAAATGGGGAGCCTAAGAGGTTTCTTTTGGAAGGAGAGATTAAAGGAATCATACTTGCATTTAGAAACAATGATTTTGGCCACAGTAAGGAAAATGGATTGAGGGTGAATGGAAGCTTCATGGATGGTGCCTATAGTCTAACCTCTAGTCATTACTCTCTTTGCAGGAAGGACAACCCAGGAGGACTGAGACCCATTTGGGACTTGACTGTGTAAAAGGGAATAGTCCTCAGATATGGCAAGTTCATAAAGCGTCAATGTGCCAGGTCCGCAGACAGTTGAGGTTATCCTGGGGAATAACCTGGAAGACTCTCAACGTGGTGGTTTGCTTTGTCATAACATATCTTACAGCATGTTGCTTGTCAATTTGTTTTTGTCCTCCAAGTGAAATGCCAAGAAGCCACAAGGTTTTTGAAAGAGATTTTTACATTACAGGCGATAATGCTTTTCTCATATTCTCACCTGTCTTATTTTTGAATAAAAATCTACTATTATTCCACCAGTTCTACTCCAGAAGAAAGGCAGGGTGCAGACTCAGTGGTTGAACTTGTTGTGGTTTTTCTTTTTGCAGATGCCTAATCTCTGTCTTTTCAGTAGGATTGTTTTATCTTCAAACTCTAACTGTAATGTTAGAAAGCAGTGACCTCCAACACCTGGGAGACACCTTTAAAGTTTGCTCTTGTTTTTAAAATTTGCTTTATAAATACGCATACATGTAAATATGTATTGTAAATATGTATTAAGATTTTATTTAGTAAAGTTATTTTTTTTAAGATTTTATTTATTTATCTTTAGAGGGGAAGGGAAGGAGAGAGGGAGAGAAACATCAATGTATGGTTGCCTTTCATGCATCCTGCTGGGAACTGGTGAGGGAATGAACCCCGTATGTGTCTGAATGGGATCAACCGCATTGTTGGGGTTTATTGAGCTAAGCGTAAAGTTATTTTTTTCCGTTTTTTAAAACTTGCTTTCCTCCATCACGTAGCCTCCCCAGTCTATGACTCTGCCTGCTCCACTAACCCTTTACATTTATTACTTTTTCTTTGTTTAATTAAAACTCACATAGTGCGCATATGAGATAGGCATGTTCCAAGCACTTGACAAACTAGGAATCTGAAGGACCCTGTGGATTTCATCTGAGAATAAAATAAAATGTATAAGATTAGAAATTAAACCAACTGTATTGAAAGAAAATGATGAAATCTTAAAAATATTGGGATACATATGATACTTAACAACACATTAAATAAATAGATCCAGTGTTAGGAGAAACGGCTTCCATATTCCAAAGCCACGGTGCACACGGGTCATATTCTGAGACGTCCGCAACGCCTCTGCTGCGATACAGCAGCATCTGTTTCCTGGTGCCGCACTGTCGCAGGTACCGCAGGTAGTGCTGTGGGGTGTGGCCTGCACCCGTGACTGAAGTGAGTGCTGAACTTCAGTAAGATGTGAAAATAAAAGGGCCAATTTTTATTTCTTTAAATTTGTGTACCAACTCCAGGTTAAGATAACACATTTCAGAGGAGGAATTCCATTTCTGCTAAATGAACAAAGTGCCTTATATTTTTGGTCCTAACAGAGGGGAGGAGGTACGGGGGCTGGGTGAGAAAGGTGAAGGGATTAAGAAAAGAACTGTCACAGACAGACAACTATGTGTTTATTACCAGAGGGCAATGGGGGGGAGGGAGCAGGAGAGAGTGAAAGGGGGATAAATGGTGATGGAAAGAGACGTGACTCGGGATGGTAAACACACAATGCAACAGACAGATGGTGTGTTACAGAACTGTATACCTTAAACTTATATAATTTTATTAACCAACGTAATCCCAATAAATTCAATTTTTAAAAGTCCTAAAAACATGGTTTTGCATTCAGGGGAATCACGGCCAGTTTTCACGCTGGTGGAGGAACTCGTAGTGCTGGCAGAGGGCACAGGGGGGAGGTGCGTCCCCGTGGAGAGCACCCTGCAAGGTGTGTGCGATGGGGTTGGAGAAATAATTAGTCCTGGAGGTTGCGTGGTAACCCCTTTTTTTAAGTGACATAATTAATCTTTATTGCCTAAACTGTAGAGCAATGGTCATTCTTACACTTAACCTTCTGGGAGACAAGGTCTCCTCTTTCCACTTTTATGGTGCACAGTTTGGGTTCCAGAGAGAAGTCACTCCAGGCCTGGGCAGATACCGGAGGCCTTCCGAGAGGAGGCCAGGCTTCCTGAGAACCCAGTCTGCTCCGTTGTAAATCCTGGCATTTCCCACCACCATGTGTGTCCTTTGGGTATTCTAACCATGAACATTCTTTAAAAAAATCTTTCATTGTGGAAAATTTTAAATATATACAAAAATAGAGAGAGTAGTATAATGAATCCTGTGTGCCAGCTTTGCTCAGTTTCAACAATTATCAACATTTGCCATTCTCGTTTCCTGTGTTACTCCCACGGGATACTCTCCTCACTACTCTTTTAAAGGAACTTTAAAGCAAACCTCAGACTCTGTCTCACTTTACCTGTAACTGTTCTAGTGAAGTCATGTCATCTTAATTTAATAATCATAGATATGGGAATGAGAGTAAAACAAATTATTATAGTTTATATGTGTGAAGTTCTTCCATGTTCAGAGCTCAATGCTAAGCACTTTGCGTTGCATTATTTTAAGTCCCCCGTTTCCCCATACAGTTCTCTAGGCATAATTATTCTCACTTTTCTGTTGAGAAAACTGAAGCACAGAGAGGTGTACTAAATTACCAAGGATCACACAGCTAGAAAGATTGCAACTGGGATGCACATTTTCTTTGCCTACTTTGGAGCTGGTGTCCTTGCCCAGTGTATAAAATTACCTTACTTCTACAATATCTTGTCTGAGGAAAACAGACCCACAAGGGACCCCCTCACCTGGGTGAAAGAATTGCTTTGAATAAATCTATTTATTCTGTTGCTTAGTGGCCTTAAATAAATTCCTTTATGACTGAGAATGTTTGGGTAGGAGGAATATTGGGTCAGGAGCCATATGAGTTTAGGTGGGGCACATTGTCACCCCTTTTTGTCTGTGAGGCTTTGGGTGAGTCACTCAAAACTCTGAGACCCAATTTGCTTTTTTATTTTTCTTGGGGGAGAGTGTTAACGCAGTCCCCCCAGCACAGATTGTGCAGTTGAGTTTCCCCCATTTGGAAAAATTGTAGGAATCAGCATACCCGGAGTGCAATGGATAAGTCTCACCCTGGGAAAACCACCTTTGTGATCGTGGTATCTCTCCTGCCAGGTAAGTATGAGTCTCAATTTTCTTACCAATCCCTGTGGAGATTATATGAGATACTCGAAAGTGCTGGCATCATTCTCCATCCTCTGCCTCCACCTTCTTCCCCTCCCATCCCCCCACTCCACCTCACTGAGTGTGAACTTTTCTCTCCCTCCTCTCACCTGTCCTCAAAGTGGTAGTCTCAAGGCTGTATTTATAGCCATGTAGCCTAGGTTTGCTCAATGGTGGTTTGGGTTTAATTTCTAGTCCTTCACCACTTCCCCTATACATTTTTAAATCCTCTCCCAAGGATAATTTTTCATTGCTTTTAGCAAGAGAGGGAGGAAGAGAGAGAGAGAGAGACATTGATGTGAGACAAAAACATTGATTGGTTGCTTCTTATACACACTCCAAGTGGGGGTCAAACCCACAACCTGGTTTGGTTATGTGCCCAGATTGGGTATCAAACCTGTGACCTTTTGTTCTATGGGACACTTCAGCCAACTGTGCCACACCAGCCAGGGCTCCCCTATACATTTTTGAATGACTAAACTTGGCTATTCCCTTTTTTTTAAAAAATATTTTTTAACAGTTTATTTTTTTCTTAAGATTTTATTTTTTTATTTCTAGAGAGGGGAAGAGAGGGAGAAAGAGAGGAAGAAAATCATCAATGTAAGAGAGGAACATTGATTGGTTGCCTCTAGTATGTGCCTCCTCTTGGGACAGGACCCACAACCCAGGCATGTGCCCGGACTGAGAATCGAACCAGTGACCTTTCACTTAGTGGAACAATGCCCAACCAACTGAGCCGCACCAGTCAGGGCTTGGCTATTATCGTGCGTTAATTTTGTACATCATTCTCACTGCATTTGAAATGAGAGCTGCCTTGAACCCTTTCAGCATGTGGGCAGTGTACAAATGTTCTACCTCGTTATCTAGAGTCAGATTCTTTGGGGGATTGTGAAGTCGTATGTGCTGCCTGAGATGTGGCATGTACTTGTCATCACGCTGTCAATTTCAGTTACTGTGGAGAACATCTGAGGAATAGATGGGGCTGGCCAGGGGAGGGCGGGGTCAGATAGGCTGATGGTGACTTTGACAACCCGGCACATTCTTCAGGTCAATTTACAAGGCTTTTTCCATTACCTTGGCAACTCTCCTTGGAAGCGTCTCCAAGTTCCTCATATTAAAAAGTCTTCTCATCAGCACAGCCAAAATTATCAATGATTAAAATGTCATAAATCTCCCAGTTCTCTGCTGGGCTCATCATATGGATGGACTCTAAGGTTTTTATTTTCTGAGATATCAAGCTGATTCTCTGGTTGCCATTGGAAACAGTTTAGATGTCTTAAAAACATTGAATAAGCTCTTCAGGTCAATGTAGCATGTTCATACTGTGATTCCTGAATGAATCAAACTGGATTAAAGAATCTCTTATAAAAATTAAAAAGAAGTTTCCTCTCAGAAATTCATACATTATTAGCTGGCACTGGGAAACTTATATAAAGAGACAAGACATCTGTCTATGCTGTATGCTGTATGATACAGCCACAGACAGAATTAAATGTAATTTTGACTTTTTGAGACCTAGGGGATATAAATGAAAACAAGTACTTGCATACAGATACACAGAAACACTTTTACAGATTTCTCTTATGCTCAAAAACAACCATAAGAATATTATGGTTTAAGGGTCTTTGAAGGAAGATCCAAACTGGATACGATAGTGGCCTTGGGATTATGAGGCAGATGTGTGGCAAAGAAAACAGAAATGGGGAAGTTCCTAGAATTTTATCTGAGGCAAGTTGATGTGGAATCCAGCAAGTCTGGCTTGGAAAGTGCCGGACCGAGGAAGAAGGGAGCCTGTTGACCCGTTTTGGCTCTGGGGCAATCTTTCCTACCTGGGCGTCAGACAGATGAGAAATAGAGACGAGGTGGGTGAGGAGACAGGAAAAGATATGGCTTCTCCGTTATCTGTTGCTGCACCACAACTCTTCCCGGAACTCAACACCTATCTGTGGTGTGCAATTCTATGAGTCAGAAAATCCCAGTAGGACCCAAAAGAAACGGCTCATCTCTGCTCCACCTGCTGGCCTCGCTCACTCATTCCACTATGTTCGCCTGCACCTAGGGGAGGCTGGAATGTCCAGGATGGCCCCTCTCATGTGCTGGGAGCCTTGGTGCTGCCTATCCACTGGCTTGCTTCTGTCCCTTCCACCCGGCCTTTTTTTTTCACGTGGTATCTTTTTCCATCAAGGTAGATGACTCCTTACATGGTGACTCAAAAGTAGTGAGAAAGCAAATGAGAAGCTGCCAGGTTTCTTAAGGTCAAGTTCTGGAACAAACACAGGGTCACTTTTGCTACATAATATTAGTCAAAGCCAGTCACAGGACCACTCAGATTGAAGGAGGTCACGAAACTGCAATCCAGGGCAGGAGGTGTGGCACGGGACCACAGAACTTGTATGTGGTCATGTTTGCAGTTGATCTCCCAGATCCCCACCCAAATTTGAATTTCCGTGAATGCCTGGTGCCTTTGCTTTTTGGTAGGGAGCCGGGACAGACTTTCCCAATCTCACGGAGGTGAATGTTAATTTTCTGATCCATGTTTTTTCGTTAGGAATGTGGTATAGGAGAAAAAGCACTGGCTTTGATTTTGGTTCTGGATTCTGATTACTACCTAGCCATTCATAAGCTGTATGACCTTATAGTCACTTCATACTCTGAAAACATTATTTTCTTCACCTTTAAATTAGTAGTAAGCAGTACCTGCCTCCTAGGATTGTGCTGAAATGTAACTGAAATAATTTATACAGTGTCTAACTCAGTGATTAATTTAGTCAAAGTATACACTCAGTAATATTGTTTCCTTTCACCTTTGACCTGGAAGAGACATAACTGCATGCTGATAACACTGAGCATATATTTTTCTTGTCTAAACCAGGATACTTCTGGTGTGTAAGGAGGCAAGATTAATACTTTCATAAGACAGGAGGCATAAGCCAGGAGTATCCCCCGCAAACTAAGTCACCCAGGTCATAGGAACTGCTGGATGGGGGCGAGCACGGGGCAGTAGCTGGTGCCTTTACTGAGAACTTTGCAGAGTCTACTTATAGTAAATATTTTAAAATATGCTCTAAATTAAAGGTATCATAAAACAGATCAGAAAGCTCACAAGAGGAAATAAGGATTCAGAATAACTATAGGACAATATTATCTGCCTTCTCTTACCCTGCATATCTTTGTTGGTCATGATATATCTCGTGGCAAATTTATCTTCTGTGTGAGGGTTTAAAAACAAAAACAACTCAACTTACAAGGGAATTGATCAAATCCAATTGAAAACACTCCTCATCTCCCTGCCCTGCTCCCCAGCTGTTTCTCTCTCTAGTTCCTCCTTCAATCTCAGCATTACTAAATGTGTAACTTTAGGGGAAAAGAATGATTTGGAATAAGATCAGGGGAATTCATGTAATCAGAGAGACAATTACGTGTTTGTACATCTTGAGTGGGAATGAAGCACTCATGCCAAAAATTCCCACTCTACACAAAATCACTTAAAATGTGGTTGGTAAAGCAAAAAAGATCATGAAATTATACCCATGATGCTGAGAGCTGTTTGGCTTTGTGGAATCTGAAGGAGTGGTAGGGTCTCGTGAGTCCATCTCAGAGATGTCGACATAGCAGAGGAATAGAACAAGTTGAAACTGAATGTATCACGGATAACAGTGATGTTTCAGTCAATGACTAACAGCACATACCACGGTGGTTCCATAAGATTACAGGGGAGCTGAAAACTGCTATTACAGAATGGCGTCACAGGTCATAGCTGTGTGAAGTGGTAAAGTCCTAGTGCAATGCTTTACATTGCGGTAGTTCCTTAGCCATTATATTCACTCGCCGCTCACTCACTGACTCACCCAGAGCAACTGCGAACTGCATTCATGATGAGTGCCCTGTACAGGTGTACCATTTTCAATCTTTTTTTACTGTATTTTTTATTGTAGCTTTTCTACATTTAAATACTATTACTTATAGAAGATAATAAATGATCAGAACACATTATCCATAAGAAATTCTAAGCCGAAGATGGAAATGCATGGCAGGGTATCTAGAAATTAGAGAAAGTGGGGGTTGTCAGTAAATCTAGTACATACTAATTAACGTTTCTAGCTTCAAGGACTGGGTTTATGTTGGGAAGGGAAATGAAGGGAAAGGAATCAATACATTAAGTCTTTACTATGTGCAGGTACTGTATATGTTTTATTTTATTTAATTCTCAAAAAAAATCTCATGAGATAAATACTAGATTCCCCATTTTACAGTTGAGGAAATTGTGCCTTAAAGAAGCAACTGATTTAAGGTCACAGAATTTCTTTAGCTGCAGTGTACATCTAAATCAAATTTGTTTCATTTTGATCAGTATGTATAGAGTGGAAACTGGGGTACAAGGTTGAAATAAGACTGCCCAGGACCCGGGCCTTCATAAACAGATGAATACCCTTTTGGCCTTTCTGGAAGAGCTTGCTTCCGTCTCCCACATCATAGCTCATTCTGAGTGCAATCCTCTCTCTGGACATCTGTTTCCCACTCTGGGTTGTGAGTTCCTAGGATGGAGATAACAGACGCATATCCACCTTTGTATCCCTAGTGCTAAATGAATGAACAGACAGCAATTGCTAAGTCCAGTGTTCAACTGGAGATCCACCTTATAATAAAAGCTGTGCTGTTCCTCTTAATTGTTCCTCTTCCTGTAACCCAGGTGTGTGCCCTGACTAGGAATTGAAACAGCGACCTTTTTGTTTGCAGGCCGGTACTCAATCTGCTGAGGTACACAAACCAGGATGCATTCAGGACTTTAATAAGACTATGTCAGATTTACTGCTCCATAGACAGAATACCTTGATTGACTCTAGAAGCTTCATGGAGCCCCATGGGCCATCAGGTAATTGCAGTAGTTCTTTTTAGTTTAACCTTATCTAACAGTCTGAGCTGACAACAATGGAAATGTAAACCAGAGGCTTGGAGAAAA